CGAACTGGATATCATTTATTAATAATATGAATCAATATTATACATTATCATATATTCATAAAAAATGCATACATATTGCAATTTTTTTTTATATATGCTTGAATGAATATTAAATTCACTAATTTTATTTTTATACTTTTATTTCTAATGAACGTTAGAAATGAAGTCCAGAACAAGCAACACTATGTTAGCAACGGGAAAGATTGTTGATCTAAGTTTTCATATTCTTATATTAAAACACACAAACATAACATTCGATTTCGAATATTATTATCTCGTTTTTTCTTTATATCAAGTCTCTCAAGTTTCTTTTTCTAACGCTTAGCATTCAATTATTAGCAACACTATTTCAATAACATTGTTGCGTCGCAAAATCAGTTCAGAATTTGATGAAATAATACATACTTGAATATTTGTTTAAAATAAAGTTTTAATTAAATAATTTTCATATAAAATTACATAATAATAAATAATAATCGAAATAATTTTATTTAAAGAAATTAATGTGAATAAAAAAAATCTAATATGCAATAGTAATATGAAAAAGAAAAATGCAATGCTTATTTGACTTTTTTGGTAGATATAAGATAATGGCATTAGTATTATATTAAAATAGATAATATAGATATAGATATATATTATATATCTATATATTATATATCTATATAGATATATAGATATTGAATTTCAACTTTTTTGTTTAGTAATCTCATATCGGAAAAAAAAATTGAATAAAAAATATTGAATTTAAGTGAAATAGAAACAAAAGTTTTTCATTGATTCCTCTATTGGTCTATGAATTTTAAATTGATTCAAGTGTCATTAATAATTTTCTTGTACATGTGAGGATGAGCAAGTTATGTGTAAAAAAATACGTTCAACTTTTCTAATCTGAAATCTTATAGGAATGTGTTTTGATTTGCTTCTATGGATTTCGCTAAATAGGCAAATTGAGTGTCATACAACAATTCAACTATGGATTTAAATAATATGTTTGTACTATAGAATAATTTATCTAAATTTATATAAAGTGGTGTATATGTTAATATTCTGGAATTTACTAAAACTTATTCGAAGTAAGATTTTGTTAAATAAGAAGTTACATAATACGTACATTATATTACATTACATTATAATTCATTTGTACATTAAAATTCATTTGAAATAATCAATTGTATATAAAAAAGTATCAGTATATTTACTTTTATCAAAGGGCTCTGCTACGCAAACGACATTGCAATATGGTATAACTGCTGCGCATCCAGCTGAGCATTCTTGTTTTTTCGCTGTCTTGCTCTATCTAATATAAACTTAAAATGCTCATAATTCATTAAGCCTTATCGGATATATGTGTATATGAACTTTTTTGATCGTTTTGATGTCTAGAATCTCCAAAGATGTCCCACATTTTTATTGACACTCTGTATATTTCATATAGCTACTATGATATTATGTAACTATTTTATAATGTGATCGGTAAATTTTTTTCTTAATAGTTTATGTGATCTAATCATATGTATGCTATGTGTGATTTGATTAAATTATTTTTCATTATGTTTTATCCAATTGTTTATTTTGTTGATTTGAAATTTATTTCTTTACATATTTTAAAAGTTATTATACCTGTTTGGCCTGAATTATATTTATGAAGTTTATTATTCCTTTTGTTTTATTCATTAGTTTTTATATTTTTTAATTTATATTTTCTTCTAAATATATTCTAAATTGGTTTCAGTTTGTTCTATTGTTGTACAAATATAATGTTAACATTCGTTTAAGAATATATTACATATTACTTCTGTATTTTTATTAGTCAATTTTTTATTTTTGAAGAGAATAACTTTAGACCATGGTTTTTAATAGAGAAAAATATTTCTTTTTAAATTATTTTCGAAATACTTAAGTATCATAAACCATTGTTTCTATATCATAATTATTTCGCCAGTGTATATCATTCTTGTTTAAAGCATTGTAGAATGTTTTTGAGATTTGAATTTGAGATTTGAATTTTGTTTCTTAATGTAGGAAATAATCTTTGTAGTTATTTTCTTATTGTACTTTATAATTAACAAATTGATATATATAGTATTTTACATTATTTATTGATATGTACAAGAGTTCTATTAATTCCTACTATATTTATATGTTTGATAATAGAGTCAATTAAGATTTGTTTTTTTTGTTTCTAGACAATTGGAAAATAATATTATATTTAATAATTTTGATTTATTGATTTTATATATTTCTTTATTGTCTTCTCTAAATTCGATGAAGAATAGCAGTAACAATTACTTTTATTTTCTATTTTTATTTGGTTATATTATATATTTAACTTCTTTGAATTTGCCATATAATAATTATTGCATGTTTTTATTATTATTTTATTATTAAATTTTATTATTATTATTATTATTATTATTATTATTATTTTATTATCTCTTGGAATGCATTTCTTTTAATAATTTTTGTAATTTTGTAGCTTCCTTTCTTTTTGAATTGATGGAAAATTTTTCTCTTTAAAAATTAAAACTAATTTGTTAAAAATCTCAACAATATGCTTGCATTATTATCTGATTTTCTTTTAATTATTTATAAGTAAATTTATTTTACACAATATATAAGTGCAGCGATTCTAGTATTTATATATTAAGTTGCAAAGAAAATTTTTACGGTTTTTATTATTTTGATTTGAAATGCTCTATTTTTGATTAAATTAGTACAAAATTTCATTTACTTTATATATAATTTTAAAGTACAGCGAAAAATACGTTCGCTCTATGAAAATATCATATTAATTTTATTTTCAAATTAGTTTTTTTGATTTCTCAGAATTGAAAACATAATGGACTAGAACCAGATTCGAGTAATTTTCCTATTCCAATTCAAATTAGGTCGGAAAGCTATCAAAACATATTTGCGATATCAATAAGGATTTGGTCCTGGAACCACTAACAAATATAGTGTACAATGGCGGTTTAAAAAATTTCGAAGTAGTGACGAAAGCCTTGAAGACAATGAGCGCAGTGATCAGCCATCAAATGTTGACAACAATGATCTAAAGGCCCTAGTTGAAGCCAATCTTCGGGAACTTGCTTCTGAATTAAGTATAACGTATACAATAATTTATAACCATCTATAGAAAATTGGAAAAACAAAAAAGCTTGATAAATGGATACCACACGAAAACATAAAAAAAAATCATCGTTTTGAAACGTCGTCTCTTACGCAATAAAAATGATACATTTCTCGAACGAATTGTAATGTGCGATGAAAAATGGATTTTTTATAACTATCAATGACGATTGGCTCAGTGCCTAAATTATGAGCTTCAAAGCTTCACAACACTTCCTAAAGCCAAAAAAGGTTTCACCAAAAGGTCATGACGACAGTCTGTGGCTGGTTTGATTTATCATAACTTTCTGAATCCTGGTGAAATCCATTACAATTGAAAAGTACTGCCACCAAATCGACGAAATGCACAAAATGCATAAAAAAACTTCAACGTTTGTGTCCAGCACTGATCAACAAAAATAATCCTATCCTTCTCCACGACAACATCCGGCCACATATCGCCCAACCGACCCTTTAAAAATTGAACGAATTGGGCTAGGAAATTCAATCTTATCCACTATATTTGCTAAATCTCTCGCCTACCGATATTACTCGACAACTTCTTATGAAAAATATTTCAAATCTCAGAGAAATGCTGAAACGGCATTCAATGAGTTTGTCACCTCCAGGACTCTAGAATTTTATTCAACCAGAATAATAAAATTTGTTTCTCGTTGGCAAAAGTGCATTGATTACATTTTTTCTTTATTTTGATTAATAAAGTTTTGTTTGAGCTGAGATATGTGCATTTGAATTTAATAGTTAAAAACTGCAAGAATTTTCTTTCTAACCTAATAATATCACATGCAAAGCAATTTAATTTTTCCTTCTAAAAAAATATTATTAAATACAATTAAAAAATAAATTCAATATGCTTAATTTGGCTCATCAATTATAAATAAATATTTATATAGTATAAAAAATAATTTAATTTAATATGTATTAAAGTAATGTGAATTAAAAAGAGTTTAAATTCTAATAAAAAAATTAATATTAATTATTTACAGAAAAAAGTTTGTAAGATATGTTAAGTATGATATATCAGAAATATTCATTTCACTCAATTTTGTTTTTTTTAATGCAAATTTATATTATTTAAAACTTAACTTAATGAATGATCATTTTTATATATAAACTTTTATTTTTTTTTTGGCCTTTCTTGTTTTCATTGGAATTCTACAAATATAATTATATAGATACATAATATTATATAAATTATGGATTTAGTAATTAAATTATAACATTTAACTTACATATAAGTTCAATTATATTTATATGTTTAATTATTATATATACTTATTAACTATAAACTATTAAATAATTTATAGGTATTATATATTGTACATAAGTATGTTAAAAAAATAAATATAAGAAACAAAATTTTAAATTTTGCATTTTAAAACTATTATAATCGAAGAATTTAAGAATTTTTGATTTATATATTTATACATTCTGAATACTATATGGTGAATCCTATAATTTATGTCAAATATTGTGCTAATAAGTTAGCATTCAATTTGGTTGAAGAGTGAGGACATTAAAAATAACTATTTGTAAATTATTTGTCTCGCCAAATATAACACATATATGCTATTAGTGATAGTTAGTGAATGTGATAAATTCAATTAATTATAAGAATTCTTGTGAATCGATTGTATGTTTATATAATTTAATATAATAATAAGTCTCATAAATATTTTATATATTTATTTTTTTATTTATTTTGTCTTTTGAAATCTTAATATTTTCTTTTTTAAAATCATACAATAAATGTTTAAAAGCAAATATCAAATTGATTTTTTTTCTGCAATAATCTCTTTTTTTCTAAATTATAATGATTTGCTATAAAATAGATAATAGATAAATCATGATCTTAGCAGTAAAAATCATTAATCTTCAATGATCGCACTACTGCTTAAAGGCTTCATCATACTTGGTGACGAACTGATTTGTACCAATACAACCAAAAAAGTCATTATACCACCAAAAATCTAGAAGTAAGATTGAATTTTTAAGTGAATAGTCAATACATTCATTTAACTCACCATTGTTGATAACTTGTTGTTAAGAATATAACCACCAGCAATAAATTTTAAAGGATGAAGAAAAATTTGTAATAAAAATTGTTGCACCTGAAATTATTCTTATTATTTTTTTTGTTAACTTATTATTAATTATTTTTTATTATTAACTATATATTATTAACTATTTTTTATGATAACTTCAATCTGTAAATGAGGATCATATATTTGATATTTTTTAAAATAAAAAGGAGAAAAAGAAATTTATACAGCATATATAATTTTATATTTTAAATAAATAAAAAACTTTAAAATAATAAAATAAATATTCAAAAAATATCAAAAAATAAAACAAATATTCTAAATAAGATCAGAATAGAAAAAATTTGTTTGAATATATAATTATTATAGCACATAAATATATAAACTTGAAGTTTTCGAATACTGTTTAAATATAAATGATACTTTTTGACAGAGTAAAGATTAAAAATTAAGAAGAAAATACATATTAGATATGTAAAATGTTTATAAAAATATGAGACACTTTTGTATGATGAATTCGAAATATCAAAATAATAAAAAAATTCCTATATATACACATAGACTTAAAGCTTATTGTTACTTAATGAATTAATAAATAATAAGTATTTTAAGTATTTTTTTTTTTTACCTCAGGTAAATGAAAATAAAAGGATAAGATAAATGAAAAGAAAATAAAACGATAAAATTAAAAGTATTCAATTAAATGCGTAACATCTATTATATCTTAATATTGCTTTTACAGTATCTTTCAAATAAACAATGAATTTATATTCTTTTAAAAACTCCATTTAATCAGTGGAATTTTAGTATAATATGGAATGTATCATATAAATATAATTTACTATTTAAGAAAAACTTATTGCAAAGAAATTATATAAAATTGTATATTCAGTCCAATATTTTATATAAATTTGTTTTAGATGAATTATTGTATAATATTTTCTTTAAATCCATGACTAAATTATTATATTCATTTAATTTGCCTATTTATTGAAATTCACAGAAGCAATGAAATTACGTATTTTAAATTAATATATATTGTTATCTATTTTAAAATATATAAATAAATTAAAATTGAAATTAAAATTGAATATGTTTTTCTATAACTATTTACTCGTTTTAATTATTGTATATAAAATTTGCTTCATACAATTTTGTTTTTTTTAATTACGTTGACATGTACAAAAGAGTTATTAATTGTACTTAATCAATCAAAATAGATTACTAAATGTATAGTAAATTAACTGAAGAATAAAAATAAAACACAATGATTGATTTAATTTTGTTTCATTAATAAATCCTAATGTTTTATATTAGATATAATAGAAGTCCTATAATAAGCTTATTGCACAAAATAATAATTTATATTCTTTTGAATTTCGAAGTTTCACAAATCAAACGTTTCAGTGATCAACTATTTGAAAATTTACATTTTTTTATAATACCAATAGATATGGTTTGCTCATTGAATTTCTTAAAAATATTTTAAATGTGTGAATTAAAACAAGATTATCTTAAAATTAAGAATTACAAAATAAAACATTTATTAATCTTTAAAAAGAGATACTCTCAAAGTAAGCAAATTAAATTTTATAAAAATATATAACAGTTAATGTTTTTGTTATTGTGTTATGCTTTTATACTATTATTATATTATTATATTATTATATTATATTGCATTATTATACTATTAATTATTATATTATTGCCATTTAATATACCAAAAAAATGTGCATAAAGAAAAGTGTTTGATTTTTTCAAATTTCATTAAAAATAATAAGAAAGTTGCAAGATGCAATATATATAACACTATAGTATCATATTCTAAAAATATATCGAACATGTAATTACATAATCTAAATTATATAAATTGCTGAAATAGAAAACTAAATACATGAATAACGAACAATATCTGAACGATATCTTATAATAACGAATAATATTTTATAATGATTATATTGTTATTATAAATCAATCATTTTCAAGATATTTATAAAAAACTGTTATTATTCTTATTAAAGGCTAAACTGAATAACTTTGAATATTATACAAATATGTTATTACTTGAAGATTTATCTAATGTCATAGAACTGTATAATCGTTTATATAATGATTTTTAAGTAAACGAATAATGGTTAATTTTAACTATTTATGACTGATTAACGATATGATATAATTAATTAATAATTCTAATAATTAGTGATTCTAACTGTACTAACTCTAATATAAATTATATCGTTACTGAATTCTATCTGAACTATATTCTATTCTAACTGATCTGATCTAGAAAACTATGGTGGACTTTAGTTTTTCTTCCAATCATTTCTTTTCGTAAAAATGCAAAAAAGGCATTAAAAGGATCAATCATCATATTGGAAAACAGTTTCGAAGAATGGATTTCGTGGGATCGCGTCGCAACATCGCGATCAAAACTTTACGCTCTCTTTTATAGTAGTTCGTCGCATGCAAGTGTAACTTGTGAGTGGCCATTACTGCTTTATCTTTGTTTAAATTGAGGATCTAGAAAGCGTTAGGGAATTATATCCGCTCATAAATTATTGTTAAACTGAATTGAAGATACTCAAACAATTGAAAATAAAATCTCGGTTATCTAATCGCTCACAAGTTTGGATTTATTCTTAATAACTATATTGAATTTTAGTTATGTATCCATTTTAATGTAAGTATTTATTACAACATATGCATCAGTATATGATCGTCGTTTATTTATTATTTCTATAATAAACAAATCATTTATAATATTATCATTTCATTAAATATATAAATTACGATAAACATTCTATAATTGGCATTCAAAATATATAACGAGCGAATTAATATTATTTATTGTAGTTATTTGTTAGTATTTTTATTTATTTCTTATCTATAGTATCTATAGTATCTATAGATATCTAAGTTTGCACATTTTACGAATTTTTCAAATTTGCGAAATGCGAAAATAAAATATACATAATCTTTAGGAAACTAAAATGATCGAAATATAATGATAATGACTTTAGATATACAATTTATACATTATATAGCCATTTATTTGAATTTTCGCGAGTATAATGTGCATAGAAATAAGTGATATATGATAGAAATAATAAATGATATAAATGATGATTGTATACGGACAGATATCATCATAGATGTATAGATGTATATATTCAGGATGTGCCAAAAATGTAAAAATATCTATTAACTGGAGATTTGTGACATAATTTTAAATTAATATTTTTGTTTTGCAAAAATTTTCATTACTATATGTATATTCCTTTCGCTAGTTCATTTTACCAAAGTGCTGCTATTGAACAGGATTCTGCGATAAAAATGTACACATAACGCGGACAGTCTTCGATGTAACATTAAGATTAATTTTAATATAGTTTTATAAGTTTTACAAATCAAATATGGCAAAAAAAAAAAAAAAATAGAAAATTTATACTTTCTATACATTCAATTCTTGTTGTGTAAAATAATATGAAGCATATAATAAATCATTAACAAATCATTATAATCTGTAAATTTTGAATATGACGTAATTAACTTTAGTTTAATTTATAAAAAAATCAAAAAACTTATTGATAATTTGATAATGATTGAATAATGATTTAAATTAAAATAAATATTTTGAAATGTTATATCCTTTATAAAATTGAAATTTAAATGTTTCTTAATAAATTTATAGAATATTTGTTAACTATTGAAATGTGATCGATCAGTTATTTAATTAATTGTCTGCCTATATATGCGTATTTTGTTTAATCTGTGAACGTTTAAAAAAAGGATTTAAAATTTTAATGCATAAAAATTTTAACATATGGTTATACATTACATTAAAACAATTATTTTTTATAAATTTAAAAATGAATTTTATTCAATTAATATATATTATTCGAACCGCTGTGTGCCAGCATTCTCATGACGAAATCACTCTTTAACGCAACAATTGGTCTTTTTAACTCCCTCTTAGTTTGCAGATCAGAGAAAATTCAGCAACGATACATTTACAAGTACAATTAGCTATAGATAGATAAATAAACCATTATTTCATTTAAAGCTTATAATATAAACTATTATACAGTTTTACGGCTGCAGATAGTTCTTCGGATAATCAGTTCAGGCATCAAATTTGTGCAATATTCAAAGTCGTTCAGTTTAGATTTTAACATATACTATATATATGTATAATAATATAATCAATAGGAGAGTATATCTCAGAAACTAATAAATAATCAGTTAAAATTTTATATTTGCAATTTTACCTTAATCCATCTTTCAAAATTTGAATATACAATAATAATCGAATAATAATTAAATCATATAAATCATATTAGGTCATTATAATCATACAATTTGAACAAACAAAATTATAATGATCACGGTAATAATATTAACAGTGCTCTTAAAATCTATTTTACAATTTTAATAATATTATTTATTGCAATTTTTCTTAAAGATTATTTTTGTTATAGATTTTAAAGTTCACTGAAATTTTATATGTGGTTTTATTATTGGATGTTGCCAGCAACACCAATATATATATATATTGGTTACTGGTGTTGCTGGCAACATCCAGTAATAAAATATTATATATATTATAGGTACCAACTATATTTCATAGTTGGTACCTATTTGTTTTTCTTCGATACACATATTTCAAATGTTTTGTAAACAGATACGCGCAATTATGTATAATTAAATATATTTATTCAACTAAATCTATATATTTTTATCTATTATTTTCATTGTCTAGTCAATAATTCTATATTTATTTTTGTATAATTTGCGAAATATCTCTTTATGAATAAATACTAAAAGTGATAATATTAGTTCATCCATTATATATTTTGTATGTCAACAAGTTTTATATGTATAATTGAAAAAAAATAATTCCATGTTCAAGCATTTCATTATGGACATATATAAAGAGGCGAAATTCTATACTTTTTTTTATTCCATAATTTTATTTCGTAAAAATTTCGTAAAAAAAAGATAAGTATAAATAAATATTGTTTAAATAAACTAAATTTAAATGAATACATTTTTTTAAAATATTAATATTTTTTTTCAAAAGATCAATGAAATATTTGAAATTCAAAGTTTGAGACTATTATTTTTCGTGACGAATACATTACAATGCAATACAAAAATAATCTAAAAATCGCTCTTAAGTTCGATTTTACGGTCATTTTTTTTTTAACAGATTTCCACCGATCCAAAAATATATAGAATTCATCTTTTAAAGCCAATGCCAATTCAATGATTTTTATACTCCATATGAATAGAATTCAATGATAATATTTAAAGTTTTTTGAAAATAATTAAAAAATTAAAATCTCATTGATTATATATAAAGAAATAACGATTATTGAAATATATTATTTCAAAATCATGAAAATCAATAAGAAGAGAAATATAATATAAAGAAATAATCTTTGGCAAAAGTAAATTTTAATTTAACTATTATATTAATCTTATTAATATATAATATATATATATTATATTAATATATTAGATCTTACCTCATTTCTAATGGAATTATCTAAGTAGTAAATATCTATTTCTCGAAGCAAATTTGCTGTTACTTCTATCTATAAAATTTATGCATTATATTTTAATTCATATTTTATAGTAAAAAAAAAAAATATATAATCTTACCTCATGGTAGAATTTAGTACAATGATTATTTACAAAAATAATTTTTGTAGAATATACAAGAACCCATATTAAAGATCCTATAGTTTCTTTATCTGATAATACTTCTGATAAGTTTAATGATATTAAAGAAAAATATATGTTATAAAGTGTACATAATACTACTGAAAATTCTCCTATTAAGTCTAATAAAATTTGATAAGAATATGCTTGATTAAGTATGCGTGAAAGTTTAAAAATCTCAAAATGAATATACCTTTAATAGATAAGAAAGAAAAAAATAGATTAACAAGAAACAAAATAATAATAATTTCATTTTTGATTTATGTTCAATTCAAATGCAATATTATCATTAATAAGGGAAAAAGGCAGCTCTGGATACTTAAATAAAACAAAAAAAAAAAAAAATATTAAGAAATTTTCAGAAAATAAATATTTCATTGAAAAGAAAATTGATTATAATATCTAATTTGCTTGGTATGCATGTTGCAACTAATTTATAATTGTTTATAAGCATAGATAGTCAAGGTATTAATTTTATGAAACTATCTATTGTTTGAGATTACCCGTCTTTCCCCTTTACTAAATAATATTACAAAATTAAAAATTACACATTAATTATTGAGAAATTATCAAACTTACCTTGTAATTTGAAGAAAATGTTGAATAAAATATTTTTTTTGATAATAATCCATTACAATTATAAATTTATGTGTAATATGTGATTGCATTTTATATCTTACATTAATATCTTTTATATTTGATAACTGATATACCTCTTCTATAATTTTATTCATCTTATGCAACTTGTCCTGTAAAATACTTAAAAAAGATTCAAATAATATGATCTTGAAAAAAATATAAATATAATAAGTTATGAGTAAAATTATAAATTTATCTATATGTTTATAATTTACACAATAATAAAACAAGGATTAAAAGGATCTTATACAATTCTTTAATATGATATGTAAGAAAAATAAGGAAATATAATAAAAAAATAAAATTTTTTTTTCAAAAAATCTAAAAAAATCTCAAAAATTATATTTTAATTCATATAAAAATATAAACTCAATATGTAACTTTAATATTTTTATTTTGATAATTTTGATAATTAATTTATTTAATTTTTATTTTGATAATTTTAATTTTATTTTTGACTATTTATGATCAAGTAATTTCAAACTTATTATTGAATAATTTGTGTTCGATACAAATTATCAATTCGTTCTCGGTTTGATCACGTCTTTTTTAATTCATTAGTAGATTTTATATCATAGCGATAAATATGAATATAAAATTTAATGCAATAAATTAATATTTTTTTACAGTTATAGTCTTCAAAAATTTTTCTATTCCATGCCAAATTTTTTTTTCATAATTGCTGTCAGTATATAATAATAATTATAAATTATACAAATCTTTGTTGACTTGTATTAATTCAACGAGCATTTCATTGAAAAATAAAAAAGATGTATCACATTAAAATTTTATCTAATTTTTCAATGAATATATATGATATATTAATATCGATATAAAAATTTAAAAAAAAATTTTAATATATAGTAATATATATATATATAATTTGTAAATAATTAATAATTTCTAATCTTTTTTCAAAACTAGACTGATATATATATATTCTATGAATATGTCTAAACTTATTCATAGAAATTATTATTTTCAAAAATCATTATTTAAATATGATTGAACTGAAATGTTATTCACAAAGATTTTTTTATAATCTTTGTTCAAATAAATTGTGTAACTTTTTATCATTATTAATTTTATAATTTTTTATCATAATTAATTTTATAAATTTTTTTGCTAAAATAAAATAGAATATGTTGTCGATATTATTGGGATCAAAATTTAATTTAGCTAATTAGCTAAAATATTATTTTTAGTCTTGGTAAGTATTAAAATTATTAAAATTAAAATAATTTATAGAAGTGGATTCCAAACTTTTATTGAAATTGATTTTTTGATATTAAATCGATATTTTTGATATTAAAATTGATATTAAATCGATAGAAATATTATCCTGCTAAAAATTAATCTATTTTGTCAATTTTTATCAATCTTTATTAATTTTTTTATACAATAAACAATTGTATAATTGTTAATTTAATATGAAATGTGAGACAATATTTTATTCTGAAAATTTTTAATATCACATATTTTTACAAAATAATATTATAAACACATTATATCAAAAAAAAATTAAAAATAACAGAAAAATATATTTAAAAAAAAGAAGCATTAAAAAATACTATAGTTATGAGAAGAAATTTAAATTAGATTTAATGATTGCAATTATTATTAGCATAATCTAAAAAAATAAAAAACAAATCATGTTATAAATATTATTGATATTTAATTTTCCAGATAATTTTCCTGCAAATTCATTTACTTTTCTATAAGTCATAATCTGGGACCACATTATATAATTAAATCAACTTAAAAATTATTGTAAAAATATTTAATTTCATTTATTATATCATTGACAGAAGAAAAAATTACTTTTTAGGCCTATTCCTCTTATCAATGCTATCAGTATTCATCAAAAAAGTTTAAAGAATTTGAAATTAATTTATTATTATACATTAAACTTTTTAGATACTTTTGGAAAATTTAATGTATTCTGAAAAGAAAATTTGTAATTAAGAAAAGTTAGAAAAATTATATTTTAAAAGTTTAAATTAAAAAATTAAAAGAAGTATATTTAAAAGTTTAAAAATATATAAATATATATATATCAGTTGAATGAAGATAACTCAATAAAATCAATAAATAATTTAATTATTAGTGTTTATAATTCTTTAATCACAAATAATCAAAAATAAAAAAGAAAGGCTAAATAGTAAATATAAGAATATTAAACACACATTGAAATGACATTGCAATTTACAATGCAATTTTTTTTTCAAATTTATAAAAGAAATTTTTATTACTATTATATTTTTTTTCTATTATATTATTATTATATTTCTTGTATTACACTACATTTTAAAAATAGATGAGAATTTTTTAATCTTTGTTTCATTTTTGTAAAAAATATAAAAAGATAGATGAATTTAATCATAACTGTATAGGATGTATAAAAAAAGTGTAAAGAGCGTGATTTTACATCTGTAAATCTGAAAATCTGTAAATAAAACTGCATGCAAAAATGACTTTGATTTCAAATTGGAAGTCATATTTTTTTTATTATATGATATTTATCATAGAAATAAAAAATTTCAAAAGAATTATGGATCTCAATGCGATTATTTTTTCAAAAAAAAAAAAAAAAATATTAAATTTTTATTTCGAATTCATTTAATTTATAATTTGTTATATTATTCGTTCAACTAAAAAAAAAAAAGTAACATGTAGCATCTAGATCTGTTATTATTATATCCTATATTATAAGATGTCAAATAAAATAGCCAATAAAATATCCAAAAGTCCTATCATAATATACCGGTATTCCTTCTCTTCTTTCCGCTCATAATGAAATAAAAATGCGCCGAAAAAAAAGAAAATTAAACACATGTTTCGAAAAAAAACATAGTCATGATTATGAATGAAATATTTCCAAGAAATTTATTTCATTGGACTGTAGATTTTATTATTTTATTTCTGCGCTCGATAATTTTTTTTATTTATATTTTCGACAACTTTTTGCAATAACTTTCTTTTTGTTACTTTTTCTTTAAATAACAATGAATTTTTTAAAATTTCTATATATGTTGAAATAGATATATGCATCAATTTAAACAAAAAGTGTAAGTTAATGACTTATACAAAGCTGAAGTTCAATATCTCTGTTGAGTTTATATATATATAAAGATACGACTCATATCTTATATATATTTATATAATAAAGATGCGACTCATATCATATATATATATATATATATATATATATACATAAAATGCGATTCATATCTTGTATATTTATGTATATTAAATTGGACATCACTGGGACAATACTCCTTTTTCGATTCTATTTTATCCTTTCCCTTTTTGAATCACCGCGCTACGCGACATAATAAAATAAACCACCAAGGAAATGACCCTATATAACATAGTTTATTCCTATTTCTTTTATTAAATATATTTTTTCTTATTGTATATTCTTTATTTTAATCAAATTATTTCACAATCTATTCTCTAATAATTTTTCATTTTGTATGTTTTAATTTGAATCTAATTAAGTTACAAAGAATACATATATATAGTAATATGTATAAAGATTTATATTTTATATATATATATGTATTTTAATATGTATAAAGATTTTTAGAAGCACGAGTTTTATGCTATTTAAAGCAAAAAAGCACAAGACAAAAAAAATATCGAATGTTTAATGAGTAATATAAATTTGGGTTATCTACATGTCACAATAAATGTAATTTTTCTTGCAATTGACCGAAGAATATATGAAAATATTAAATAAAATGAATTTAAAAACTAATAGAAATTTAATTTTTTTTCCAAGAGTAGATATGATTTCTTCGAGACTTTTTATTTTTGCTATGAGTAGAATATGTAATAAAAAAGTTTGACTTTTTGAATTTTAAGATTAAATCCTTTTTTTCCCACATTTTTAATAATCCGAGATAATAATTATTAGATCCAAAGATATAAATACATGTTATATTTCTCTTAACATTTCCTTTTTATATATATATAAATAAAAAAAATAGAAATGAACTTATTAATATTAATTTACTTACTAATATTTATATTAGTAAAGTTGTTTATGAAAATTCATATTTTTAAATTTATAAATTATATAATCTGGCATTAATTATTAGTAATATTATTATTAGAAATTCAGAAGCACATCAATAGTTAAATATTTTTAAAAGAAAAACTTAAGTTTTTAAAAGATAATTTTAAATCTAGAAATATATCTATTTTTTTATTCAATTAATTTTATGTTTATGAACATTTCTTTCTTTATATAATTTACCTTATAAATATGGTAAAAGTAAGAGTTCCCAAACACATAGTTGTTATTGGTATATATAAGAGAATATTTAAATCGTATTCTTGTTCATTGGAAGTAATGTAATTATGTAGCGAAATAATGATTACTATTATTGCGCTAGTTATAATTAATGTTTTTAGAACTTCGAGATAAGTTTTTCGATAATTTTTCTCAATTCCAAATGATTCTAAGCTATTATCTATTTGTTCACATCTTCTAATAATTTTCCTTGAACACTATAATGAAAAGAAAATATAATAAATATAATAAAATAATATTAGAAAAATTGCTTATCAGCAATAATTGTTTGCGAGATTTAGAACATATTTATTCGGAGAAATTTTTCGTACAAAAACTTTTTCTCATTATTATTGATCACCTCTTATTAAGTCTAAACAAAGGATTAAAATGATGTTGTTTAATGAGGATATTTTTAAGGATATTTTTAAGTTTTCAATTGTATATTTTTGAAATACTTCAGTTTCATTGAAGTGCAATATGATTTTAAATCCAAGAGTGATATATTCCATATACGATTGATTCAATAGTAATCAATTTTATATGGAGATAAAAATTTATAAGTATACGCTATCAATTTAGTTCAATTTTCTTAGAATTTTCCTTTAACTTGGGAGCAATGACAGAGATTTTATTGGTTATTATCATAGTATCATTAAGAAATCTTCCAAATTGAACTGTGGAAGAGATTTTTGAGAGTACGAATCCACAACAAAAAATAAGAAAAAATTTAACATTTTGTAGCGAGCACATTTTCTAAATACAATCAATGGTTTTTTTAAAATTCATGCTTTGACTATCATCGTGATATTATGAGAGATTTAAATCTCGTATAGTCTCACACATTGCATTTGTAATTGTTTATTTTTTGTTGAGATAATACATCATTGATTACAAGTATCAGAATTCAAACATGCACCGAGTTTCTATCAATATTATCATGGATGCGAACAAAAAAAAATTTATAATTGTTAAAATCTAAAACTGAGTGATTTTGAATATTACACAAATGAATTGATAGTATTACTCGAAGGACCACCTACTATCGTAGAATTGTACAAATTTATATTTTGAGCTTTGAGTGAAATGATGATTTATTTTAATTATTTTAATTGTTTGCGGTTAATTAAAAAAATGTAATGATTCTAACTGTAATTTGATGTGAACTGTATCGTTGCTGAATTCTGATTTAAATTTTATTTTATTCTAACTGATTTGATCTAAAAGACTATTGCAGGTCTTGGTTTTTTCTTTAATTATTATTTTCCATGAAAATGCAAACAAAGAGCAGATTAGAAGAATTAATAGTCGCGATAGAAGGCGGTTTCAAAAGATGATTTCTCGTAGAGTTGGATTGCATCGTATGAAGATTAAGACGCTCATTTGCATGATAGTTTATCGCAAAGCACTATGTAAATGTGAGTTACGAAGTAGCTATTGCTACTTCAGAGATATAATATATTTCTGTTTAAATTGAGGATTCAGAAAGTGTTAAGGAAGCGTTATATACTCACTCATAAATTATTGTTAAATTGAATTGAATATATTCGAGCAGTTAAAAATAAAATCCAAGCTGTCTGACTGCTTTACAGGTCTTGATTTTGTTTTTAATATGCCGCCCATCATGAAATCGCTGACGAGTTCAATATTATAATATATCTTACTAATATTAATTTCATAAAATATCTCCATAACATTTGTCATCCAAATAAGCTGAGATATGCTAATTTGTTTCCTCTTGATCGTTATTTGGATTCAATAATAATCTGCTTGTGTTCTTTGTGTATAAACATGATGCACAGCTTTGCCGTTGGCAATTAACCGTTGGCAATTTTTAAAATAGCGGAATACCATGTATTTCCAAGTTGCATTATTCTTGCATTATTGTAGAGAGGGAAGGTTTTCTTCCTGTATTATTATCAAGTCATTGCAGAATGTCTACTGACTTGTGTCACTGATTTCATTTCTCTGATATAACTGCTATATATATTCTTTACTCCAGTGCTGCCAAAAACTGAAACATTTGTTGAATTAGCTAATCAACAAACAAATCAGGCAAATCATTTTGACCTCTCGCAAATTGTTCTTTGATATTATAGTCGTCGATCAGGAATGACCTGAAGTCAAAGAATTCAGATCTTCGAGATTGGATGATAAAAGAATGAAAATAAGACAAGACTGTATTTGTATTAGTAGAGTGTATAGTGTTCTTTAAAACGTTAATGTTCACCAATACGACGCAAGTGATTTTAATAAATTTTACCGCAATCTTCTCTCAAAATATAATGCATGCAGAAGATTCAGGCATTATTCTATACTGTATTTTCCTAATGCATCTTATATCCTTGTATTATATTCTTTTTCTTCATGAGCATATCTAATTCATCGAGCTTATTTCGTGCGTTTATAAAATTCATTCTGTTATCTGAAAATATTGTCTTATATAATTCTCTGCGAGCTATGAATCCACGTAAAAGGTTTTCTTCTGAATAAGATATTTTAATGTTTTACGAACTTATGTCAATAATTTGGCAATAATCAAATTACTAAGTTCTCTCTGATTTTTTCAACCAAGTGGGTTAATCACAGTTAGTTTGTGAAGATAGAGAATTCGTACCGCGAGATATATGATCGGCGAGATTATTGTGAATGAAGTTATGTGATACCATGCCCGATGATTGCATTTATATTCTCACAATCTTAGCCAAGAAGATTTTCCATCTGCTAAGTGAATCGTTAATCCACGAATCTAACCAGTAATATTTACGAACAATGTCTAAAATAACCGCTTTAATCTTTGACTTTAATTGTGTGAATAAAAATACACCACAAAACTCTAATCCTGGAAGAGAAATTGACTTGAGTGGAATTAGCACAGATTTAGTTGTGCTTCCTACTTACCTGCTCCTACCGGCAAGTAGTTTTACTGTACAGAATTCTTTCTTTTTATTTCTTGCAATATACGTGTAGCTAGAAATGATGTAAACGCGATAATATATGATTATATAATTCGTATGTCCTCACTCCGATCCGATTTAAAATATGCTGGAATTTACAATTCTCAGTTCTAATTAATATTTTGCGATATATTTTTTCTGCTGATATAATATAATATAACTTGTTGATGAAATAAAGAATAAATTGTCTTGAACGATTCTACTATATGAATATCATTTAATGATAAATCTAATGAAATTCTTGCCAATCTATTAAATACGACATGAACTTTCGTCATGCTGCTAATCTTGAAGACAGTATGGCGCGGTGTGATAGTATAAATAATCTTCTTTACCTAGAGGAACAGTTAATCATATATCCTAATCTTTCACATGAAATCTACTTTGACGTGAAATCCTGATATTGTATTTATTGTTGCCTGGCTAATTTTCTCTCAAGTGAGTACAATCATTTCCGTCTGTCCCCATAAATCATCTAGTTGAAGTACATCATCTTGAAATGATATATTAACTATATAATGTCCGTCATGTTATTTATTATGTATTTTCCGAGAAATGAGTTTCAATAATTTTTTTTTTATTTGAATTTCGTAGATATCTCCTTTATCTCTTAAAATTTGACAAAATTTGTCTAAATCACTATTTCTAGCTACATGACATTTAATCCGTGTATCGGATTCTTTCGATTATACCACATACCGCCAAATAGCACCCAATCGAATTGAATCTTCTACTACAGTAAGCAAAATATTGTCTACACACAACAATACTCAAAATGTGCCTGTTCCAATGAACATATCTATTTTCTTACACTTAAATTGAGAATCGGTTAATACATGGTTATATACATGGTTAATATATGGCGGTACTTTTTTATTTTAATTTTTCTTTTGTTAATAAAAGATTCAACAAATTTATAGTGATTTAATCTAGTCCAACATGAAATACTGGCGCTAAATTAATTATATCCGGAAAAAATGTTAATAAACATTTTCTCTGATAACTGAACTTCCGATATTCGAAATATTCTATTTTATTCTCCTACACTTTATTTCCAATTTATTACATAATTATATAATATTCTTAATATATATAAGATATATATTATTTTATATATTTAATAAAATTATATTAAGAACTTCAGTCTAATAAAATTTAACATTTCTGTCTATTTCCTTGGTTATTTTTCACATAAACGCGATTAACAATACGGCATTCCTTCGACAAGGAATAGGCTGCAACATTTGTAATACAGGATGAGGCTGATGGAATATCCTTGCCAAACTATTCATTTTTGATTCAAGATCAATAACATATAGAGCTTGCGCCCATATGATTTATAAAAATCAATGCGTGCACGCATTCATATGATATAAACAAATTGTAAACAATTAAACTAAAATTTCTCCATTTGTACGATTTTTGTTTTTTTATTTAAATTTAACTCGTTAAATTTTTGCATTATGACAAAGATTGATTACCCGAACTGGATATGCGGAGAAAACATTAAATATGCACCATCGCTCGCTCTGATTAACGCGCTAAAAAAAGTCGGTTTTCGCTATTCGATCGGGCGTTATCGCTATTTATTTATTAAACATAAATCGTTGTTGACTATCCACCGCGGAACTCTTTAAAAAGCTCTTCTAAGAATTCATGGAAATCTTTAAATCTAAATTTGAACACTAAAATTAATACTTGTTCTTGCCATTCACTTAATGTTCGTCTAATTTTCTTGAAAGAAGAATAATAATTAATACAATATTCCATTTGTACAGATTCATTTAATTTTTCTAACGCAAGAAGATGATTTTTTGCGTCATCAATGAATTCTCTTAACACAATGGAAAATCTATTTTTGATCAATGCCAGATTTAAAAGAGTGCCCACATGATAACTAGAAAGATTTGAGGTTTTCTTATATCACGTTCATAAACTCTCCCCAACCAGCCTTTAATTTGTTTCAGATAAGTTCAAGGACTGGATGTGCAAGTAAGCGCAATCCCTTAACAACACCTGAAAGCAAAATCTTTCCAAGTTCGATA